TCCTCCAAGCGCTTGCATGCCGCAAGGCGACGCGGCTGTCCGACACGTGCACGCGCAGCGCCGCCGTCGCCGCCGCCACGTCCATCGCCTGCACCGCCGCATTGCTCGGCGGCGCGTCATGCGGTGCGGCGCCAACGCGCTGCCGCACCCGCCGCCCTCCCTCCTCGCCAGCCTCGCCAGCCTCGAGCGCCGCCACGCGCGACCGCAGCCGCTCATTCTCCGCCCGCAGCTGTGAGTTCTCGGCCCGCATCTCCGCCACCAGCGGCGCCATCATGCGCTGGCACACGGCGAAGGGGCACGTCGCCTCGTGCGCCGCCTTGTCTGCCAGCAGCCCTGACCACGCGCAACCAGCCTCCGCCGCGGCACACGCTCGCGGCCGCTGCGGGCAGTCTTGCTCGTGTGCGGCGACTTCGCCGCGCGTCGTCGCCAGCCCGCAGTGCGAACATGCCGCCGGCAGCGCCGCGATCCGCTCCTCGTGGCTTCGGCATCGAATCGCCTGGTTCAGTGGTCCGAGAGCCATGCGGCACTCGGGGCAGCGGCGCGGGGCGCGCAGGTTGGAGTCGCAGGAGGCGCAGTAGACGTGGCCCTCCCGGCACTGGTGCTGCGGCCCGTCCTGCACCTCCAGGCAGATGGGGCACTCCATCGTTGTAAGACCAGTCGACCAGTCGATAGGAGGACAGACTTCGCGCCAAACACACCGTGAAGTGGAGGAATGTGGAATACAAAACCCAGCAAGGAATTTAAGATTTGAAGACGAGGCGGCCATGAGCTGTAAAATCTTGAAAATGTGTGAAATTACAGCGGCAGCACGAGGACGAGGCGAGCTGGTCGACGCGGTCGTGGCTGTCGCTGCAGGCCCAGCGCATGTCAGTCGCGCTGCAGCTCGCGGCGGCGGAAGAGATTGCGACCGAGCTCAGGCTCGCCGCGGCGTCGGAGGACGCCGCCGTCGCCTAGACTCCCCTGCGTCACTAGGTGCCTCCCCGTCTTTGTAGCCTGGCGTTTGTTTGTGCCCCGTTTGTGCCGCGTCCCGTGCCCCCGAGTTCATTTTATAAAATTACAGCTAAAATCTTGCAAAAATGCGCTCCAGAGCTCTAAAATCTTGGTCTAAAATCTGAAAATCGCCGGCCTGCGGCCGGCCTCTAAAATCTTAAATTCGGCGGACTTGTATGTGGAGGGTCACAGCTTAGGCTGTACGAGGTTTTCCTCTCGCACCCCGTCTGTTTTCCCTTTCCTTTTTCTCTACAGCACCCTCTCTTTTCCTCTCTATTTTCCCGAGAAAACTCCGTGGAAATCGTCAAATTTTTGGCTCTGAGCCGAGTCTGAGGCTGGTTTGGGCCCAAAATCAGCCACATTTTAGGCCAAATCGTCAAAATGCCGGGAATTTTGCGGAGAACCCGTGTAGACCTGGAAATTACCCTGCGACCGCCTGGGTATTTTGTCGATTCCTCAATTTTGCCTCAGATTTTGCCCCAGACCAGCTCTCAGACTCAGGGAAACTCGCGAGTTTCCAGAATGGAGCACCAAACACCCTCTGTTTTCCCTGGAAATTTCCGGCAACGCAAAGTGCTGGGGACCCTCTGTTTTCCTTTTTGTTTTCCGGAAAACC